TGTGTGTGTGTGTGTGTGTGTGTGTGTGTGTGTGTGTGTGAGAGAGAGAGAGAGAGAGAGAGAGAGAGAGAGAGAGAGAGAGAGAGAAAGAGAGGGAGGGAGGGAGGGAGGGAGGGAGGCTGACTTCATAGCAGAGACCCAAGTCATATGGCTTCTTTTTTTTCCCCCTCATCGGTAGGGATTTCATTTTTACGGCCAGTGGCAGCTGGGCGTCACAGTATAATATTGACTTCAAGGAGGCTGACAATAAATGATCAAACTGTTTTCAGGAAATGACGCCTCTGAAGAAGAAACTTGATGAGTTTGGGACATTCCTTTCGAAGGTAAGCTGAGCTGGTTCTTTCTTTGAGCTCTTGTTCCTCCTGTTTTCTTGTTTGCTTGATTGCATGTGGCTGCAAGCGCCAATACCCAGGTATTAAAACTTGCCGTGGGCCATTTGGAATGGAGCAGCCGTTAATTTGCGACGTACCATCAAAATGTTTATTTGAAAATACCGAGTCTCTCAATATTCTTCAAATTGGTCATCATTTAATAGGTCCACATGATTTCATCATGCAATCATTGCCAGTTGGGTTATGTGAAGAAAGGTGGTTTGTTTTTGGAAGTCGCACGAGCAGTGCATCACATTGAGAATAGCTCATTTGCCAATGGGCCTCGCTGCAAATGTGCATATAATGAGACTGAATCTACCGCTAGAACATGGAAAAATACATTGCCATCTTTTTTGTCTTTTATGCATCTGGAGAGTAGTGCAGCGAGGCCCAATGTCTGGAGGCATGCTACATTCAGCAGTGCAATGTCCGACAAAGATGACATAGTCTGCAAAGACTCTGCCGATCATAATTGTCAGAGACCAGCCATGCAGGATCTACCATGCTGACAATCATGATCTGCAAGCAAATCTTTGAGCTGCAGAGTTCCGACTCTAAGGGTGTACTCATACGAGGACTTTTTTTATATATTTTGGACGTAACAGCGGTAAATGCATCCACGTCCAGCCATAAATGCGTTCAGATGCATTTAAGATAGAGCTAGTGTGAATACGCACTAAGACTGGTAAGGTATTCAGTTGACCATGTTGACTGATAGTATCGTACATCTTGTGAATGGCTCTATTTGCTTATTTTCTGGGCAGGTTATTGCAGTCATTTGCATCCTTGTTTGGGTGGTGAACATCGGTCATTTTCGTGATCCTACGCATGGGGGTTTCTTAAGGGGTGCAATCTACTACTTCAAGGCAAGTGATTATTCTCATCCTTGAACTGATTTTTATGAAATCGAAAGAATAAATAGAAAAGGCACTGATGAAGTGGAAATTGTGGAATGCATCCTGATTCTTGAAGCAAGATTGGATGTCCTCGTTTCATTCTTCTTTTCTTGTCAGGGTCCATTGGTCCAACCGTAATTGGGTCCTTCATTTGTGGGATGTTGATCATGTTGTTACCTCTTGACTGGTAACAGTGATCAGCCAAATACAAGGACATTACCTGGTGTGTATTTTCTCGTCCTGTTTGCATTGGCGGATGTTAACCCTTGTGATTCATATCAACGGTACATTACTGAACTGAATTCAGGGCAAACCAGCAGTAACGCGGGGTATTTATGTATCCACCTGCTGCTCTTGTACGTCCAGGTCCCCAGGTCTTTTTCTTCCCAAGTTGCCATCTGTAGGCGGAAAATTTACCCGCCCTCTTTGCTAAGTTCGCTGTCATTTCCTCCGTTTTTTGGATAGACGTCTCTCTGATGGCAGGTCTTGAGGTCTCCTCTGAGCTGCCCTCTGTTGCAGATCCTCACTGAAGCAAACAGGCATTCCCATCTCAGTCGTTTTGCGTCAGCTTCTCTGTGCTTTGCCAAATGGCTATTTCGATTGGCTTAGCTGTAAGTTAGGCATAATTCTTCTACAGGAGGGCATATCTGTAACGAGCGTGAGGCTGAGGGTGAGCCGAGGGAGATGAGAGAGAGGGAGAGAGAGGGAGAG